GGATGCTTTGAAGGTGGTCTGCGCATATCGAGAATACTGACCATGTTAAGGATTAGAATGTGTACTTTCTCAAGAGAAGACAAAGGTATATAGCATGATGGGATTCCAAGGAACAGAAGTTTCTCCGATGGGATCACACACACACACACACACACACACACACACACACACACACACACGTTTTTTAATAAGCAACTCAAGGTTTCCCTTCCTTCTTTTTATCTGGAAATAATAGCCTCCCTCAGACAATCATGGGAAATGAAACTTAAACGGAAAAGTAAATTGCGTTGGTTAGATACCAGCAAACCAGTTCAATAGGCAGAAGACTTGTATTACCATCAAGGCACATCGAACACATCTGTAAGGATTACATTTCTGCGTAATCTTCCTCGGAGCTAAATGTGCCCCGAAACTCTTGCATAAGGAGATGCTATTTTTGTCTTGCCAATCAATGTGATTCTGCTGTTGTTTTTTTAAACAAACTCTCTCCCTAGCAGTTCTTGATTTCCACGTCTCCCCCTTTGATGCTGGCCCTGCTGCACCCCCACTGATGGCCACGGATTTAGGGGAAAGGGCAAGATCACAAAGGTCCTTGCTTGTCTCTGCCCAGTTCTATCCAAATAAGGTGACGAGTCGTCGCAGTTAGCAAACGCTGTCTCGCTGCTCTCCTTTTCTTAGACTGCTGAGTGCCCGTGATCACGAACATAGTAACGAAACACGCACGACATGACAGCCAGCCTGCAGGACAGGGTCGAATGGCCCCGTGAGTTTCCGGGACTGTAGCTGTCTAGGGGACCGTGCGTGGCCACTGAGTGGGACAGCCTCACCTTGGTCTCCAGGGCTGCCCTCATCTCCCGGAAGGCAGACACCACTCCTCTCTTCTTGGAGGGTTTGAAACGCTGACCTCACAGCTCGCAGCTAAGAGTGTAAGCTCAGTGGCACCGGGGTTCCTTGCTGGGACCCTGGACTTGCCTCCTGTTGCCTGAAGGGGCACATGGACTCTTGAGGGTCGCCCCTGTCTGCATATGGGCCTGGGCGGCCTTGCAGGGAGTCTGTCCAGGAGAGCAAAGCCTCAGGGAAAGTTCCCTCCTCGGGCTCACAGCTACGCTGGGGAGAAGAACTCACAGGATGCCGCTCCGTCACTGCAGGGGCTCACGGGGCCTCGGCTGCTCCCCGTGTAACCAGCACTGGAAGACAAGGGCGGCTTAGGGAAGGTGGCCTTTCCAAATGCCAACTCCCGTACTTCTTCCACTGGACGGCCGCCATAATGCGGTGGAGAAATCCGTGGGAGCCCCCACGGGGAGACCTCCACTGCTACAGCGCCCATTCAGAGCCACAGCGACCCTACCTAGGGCCAGAGTCAAGCCGCCCAAACCTTAACCAGAGCAGACAGCCTCTTCATGACTCAGTTCGAGGCACACTGCTTCGTCCGACAAGCCAAATAACGATCGCACAAGGTTCTGCTAATAACTCCGTTTATTATCGATAAATTGCCGGCAAGACAAAGCTTTAAAAAAAAAGAACTACACGTGCGCGCACGCAACACAAGCACACATTCAGTTTCTCTGAGCATGGCAAACTTTTAAAGGGAGTCTTCTGAACACTCACTCAGTCGCCCAGTAAACACTTCTCAAAGAACGATCATTATGTGTATCACCCTGGACTAGGTTCTGGGAATATGAAAAAAAGCAGGGGTCGGGGAGAAAATGACGGGATGCGATGAGCTGCACCCCCACCCCACCCCCACCCCCCGGGCAGAGCTGAACACCTGACTCACAAGTCCCTCAGTTCATTGAACTGAACCGCGCAGGCTGCTCCAAGCAGGCCCATCCCAACTTCCCACTTGCTACCTGAACAAGGAACCACACTAGTGGGTGTACAGCGCCCTGGGAACCACCTGGGATGCGCTGCACGGCATGCACTCCACCTGTCTAAGACCCCCTGGATGAGCGAGCGCAGCAGGGTCCAAGGGGGAAGAGGCAGGACGAGCGGAGCACAGGTCTGCAGCAGGACGCACAGTCCACGTGCTGGGAGGATGGCGCCGTCAGGATTCTGACAGCCAACAGGCAAGCAGACAAAAGGAGGAGGACCCGAGTCTAGCTTGGCAGAAGAAAGTTCCCTCCATGCCGGAGATGGAGGGAGGGTGCTCTGCGAGCCCCCTGCCAGACTGGGAACCCTGAAGACCAGAGAGCCAGTGAGCGGGTGCGGGCATGCCAGAGCCAGAGAAGCCAGGAGCTAGATTCACCGAGGAGTGCTCTGCCCACCCAAGTAACCCGGGGGCCACTGGGGCGTCTTAGCCTGAGTGTGCAAAGAGGGCGACAGGAAGCGAGGGTCAAAGAGGAAGAGCCTTCCCGGGACTTCTGTTACGATTATTGCACACGCACTACCGCAGTTGGAGGAAGTGCACGGAGCACACAGATTCTTTTCGCTTGTGTCCCACTCTACGATGGGAAACATACAAAAAAACCACAGCGCTTTAGGGTGTACAACAGCGGTTGGGAGAAAACGGCTCTGTGAAGCGCATGAAATGGCCAAAGCTGAACACGGCCACGTCGGGGTGAAGATGGCAGGTGTGCCCATGGGTTCCTGGGTGGCAGCTCTGTGCGGGAAGGGGTGGGAAGAGAGAGAACTGGGCTCGGGACAGGGCTTAGGACAGGTGCATTCTGGTGAGGACCCCCCTCTGCCCAACCTGCTGAGAGCTTGCTTTCCGTCTCAGATGGACAGATGGGGGTCTGCACGGCAACCAGACTCCCAGGTGACCTAATCACGTGGCAGGTGGCAGGGCTTCACAAAAAGACAACGCTGATGCCGTAGACTTGGTTGGAGTGGGGAGGTAGGGGGCGGGGAAATCTAGCTTCCCAGCAGTGGGGGCAGACTGGAATAAACTGGGTTCATGTCCTATCCTGGAGCCAGCAAAGCCCACGATGGGATTGCTGATGCCCTTACAATCAGTGCCTGGAAGATGGGAGCCAGGAGGCTGGGCCTCCAACGACAGGGGCCCCCCTCCCTCCTGTCTGAAAGGGCCCCAGCACAGGCTGTCCCACACTTAAGACAGAGTTCCTCTCGGTTGACTCCATCCCGAGTCTGTTTTGACACGTCAGTTGCCTTTTTTGTTTTCTTCTTTTTCCCCCGGTTCTCATCATCTACTGCTTGTAGTAGGGCTCACTTTAGCAATCCAACCCGCGAGCGTCTGGCAGTGATTGCCTGAGAAGGATTCCGCCAGCAAGCTACCTGCTGCAACACTGTATCAAATGCATACAGCTACCGGTGAGACGGACCCAACCCCCACAAAGACCTTAGACCTGGCTGCCTGCATTCTCCTGTCGCCTCTGTACTGCCATCAACCTGGGGGGCCAGGTGTAGAAAAGGGAGCCTGAGAGCCTGGCACAATGCTTTCCACCCAACTGCTCGACCTTCCTTCCCACCTGTAAAAACCAGAGCCACCAACAGCAACGCCACATTTCATGAATTCCTCTGCCTGTTCCCTGTCCTCTGCGAGGACACCTGCCGTTCCCCCATCTGGTTTCACCCTAGAAGCACTGCCGTGGTGACACTGAGGCAAAGGGCACGTGTGCATCTTGGTACCACCGTGAGCATCCAAGCCGCTAAGAGTAGGGGGAGGGAGTCATATCATAGGTAAAGAAGGCAGGGGACCCCTTCAAGTACACAGGGCCAAATAAGCCCAACTGACACCCCATTTCTGATATTGGGGGTGGGGGGGTTCCAGGAGGCAGGCACCGCACACCTCGGGCTGGCCGTTGCCATGAGATCCTCAGAGACTTCAGGGTCCACCCAGGCAGAGGGGCCAGGATGGGCCTGTCTACAAGTCACTGACCACCACCACCCGGCCCTCCTATGCAGAGTGCCCCACCTGGGTGCCATCAGCTTATGGAGAGTATGAGGAAGCAGTAGAGACCAAAGGAGAGGAGAGACAGAGAGGCCAGATGGCCTTCCCTCCCTCCGCTGAACAGCGAAAGCTGAGACGAGGACTATCCAAGGCAGCGGTTCTCAACCTTCCTACTGCCGCGACCCTTTCTTACAGCTCCTCATGTGGTGAGGACCCCAACTGTCACATTATTTTCGTTGTTACTTCCTGTCATTTTGCTATTGTGGTGAATTGGGCGACCCCTGTGAAAGGGTCGTTTGACCCCCAAAGGGGTTGCGACCCGCAGGTTGAGAACCACTGATCTAGGGGTCTATGCAAGATACAGAATTCCCAGAGCTCCCCGCAGGCCCTCTCGGCAGGCTCCAGCCCCCACTGCCCCTCCACGGGCCGCCATCTGCAGCAGAGGAGGTACGTGAGCATGTGCCTTCAGAGTTGCCTCGCCCCACCGCCCACCCGCCCACGAACTACAGCTCAGACTGTGCTTGGGGACACCCCAGTGCCGCTACAGGACACCCAGAGCAGGCTGCTGGCCGTTGCAGCGTGGACCCCAGGGGGGCTGTGTGCTTGTGCAAGAATCCACCTTCTCCCCGACTGTCTGAGCTGTATCTCCCTTCTCTTAGGTTCAGGAAGTCTATGAATTGTGTCAAAGAACTCCCCAGTGGTACACTGAAAAACTAACTGATGTGAAAAATACGGACCTACTGTCTTGTTCACGGAAAAGAATGTCTACTATGGGCAGCACAGGGAAGACTTATGTTGACCAGGGAAGGCTGACGGGGAAGCCTGGTGGTACAGGTGGGGGTGAGGGTGGGTGATTTCTCCACTGAGTGGATTGTTCCAAGGGGCCTGTTGGGGGAAGCGGCAGAAGGGGCACAGGATGCAAGCCCTCCGGGAGCAACACCTCTCTGCACCTGCCGTTGGAAAGGGAGGGCCCCTCCTCCTGTGGGGCCTCCGGCGCCAGGGTGCACTCAGCACGGTACACACTTAGACTACTTCCATGAACTCAAACCAGCTGAGGGCGGGTGTTCGTGAGGACACCCAAGGGCACGCCAGGCCAAGGGGCCGAAGCGACCCCACGAAGCATTGTGGCTGGCTGGCGGAGGCTCTCACTTACGTATTCTCCATAGGTCTCTTGCGCTGGGGGTGGCGGCGGAGGTCGGTACCCGGTAGGGGGCACTCCTCTGGCTCGGGGGGTCAGCAGCCCCCTTCCTCTGCTCACTGGCCCTCGGGAAGACAGGGTACCACCTCGGGGAGTCGGCGTCCCTCGGGGTCCACCAACGGCAGCAGGCCGGGCCGTGACACCACCTCTTCCCCTGCAACACAAGGCTCCATTAGCAAGATCCCGCCCATCCAGCACATGCCATCTTTCACCTGTATTGCTACATCGAGGATAAGGAGCCCCACGCTCTTGTACCGCAGATGGAGGAGGCCCTCCCCGGGTGCACATACAAACCTAAAATCTAAAGCCAGCGAGGAACAGATCTGCCACCGGGGCAGCCCGTCCATCAGCGGCACACACTGACAGCAGAGGGGCCTCCAGCCTCGGCTCCAGGCTGCAGCTTGGGGCAGGGAGCTCGCTACTTGTCCAAGGAGGCCGAGCTAACCAAGGCTGATGCCTGGCTCACAGCCAATCTTCACGTCCCTCTGTAAGGAGAGTGGCTCAGTAGACTACAGGCTGGGCTGCTAACCGCAAGAGCAGCAGTTCGAAACTACCAGTTGCTCCACAGGATGAAGATGAGGCTTTCCACTCCCGTAAGCAGTTACAGTCTCATAAAACGCTCGGGGCCTTTTCTACCCTGTCCTCTGAGTGGGCATCGACTCGGTAGCCACGAGGGAGAGGCAAGGCAACGTGGGCTCAGAGTGATTCCAAACCCACCGGAGAACATTCTCCAAATCATTCGGCCGGCTGCCTGCCCCCTCTGCAGAAGAAAAGGTTACCCAGCAGCAATCCAAGGAGCCTGTATTCTCGTCCACAACCCAAGATAAAACGTAGGCACCTACGTTGGCATCTCCCCGGGTCCTTCCAGAGCCCCAGCACCCACCTTGGGAACCAATGATATAGGTGGTGGGGCCAGAGCTCAGCGCATGCGTCACACTCCCACCGAAAGAAGATGCTCCCCGAGGACCCCAAGGGCAGTTCAAAACACGAGGGGCAGGGAAGTCCCACCAATTTCCTTCCTTCCACGGCTCCACGGCTTTGTGAAGCCCGACCCCTCTTGCCATAGTCCCGTTACATCAGCTCCTCTCTGAAGTGGTGTCCACACAGTTGGGTTACTACCAAACACGAGACTTCCTGCTAGAGGGGATGGGGAGGGGTGGTCCAGCATCCACCAAGAATTGGCCTGTCCTCCACAAACAACAGCCCCAAAGACGGGCAAACATCAGCGGCCTGAAGCTGTGGCCCGGGTACCACCCACGCCGGCAGATGAATTCTACGAATCCGAGGGATCCCATGAGCCAGGCGATTCTGACAACTCTCCGCTGGGGATTCCCAACAGAGCACGCAAGGCAGGGCCGAGCAGCTCCCTCACTTTTACCGCTGCCGCCCACCCCCCCGCCCCAAGGAGTGGGGGTCAAGTGGTTCCAAAGGCTGCACCCCTCCCTTTGCTATCGCGGCTCTGCTTTTGGTATCATCCTAGGAAAACACACCCCAAGACGAACACAGCCAAGTGCCGACCGTCTTTCTCTGTGGAAACAAAGAGGCGCACTCAGCGGGGTCGCAGTGGCGCAGCGATGAAGCGCTCAACCCCCTGCCAGAGCGGCTGGGCTGGTGGCTCGGCCCCATGTGCTGCTCCCTGGGAGGAAGGGGCCACCACGCTGGGCGCCTGCGTGCAGCTCCACATGGCAGGCAGGGGCGCTGTCCCCGGGAGAGGACCCCGCATGGGAGCAGGGCTGCACAGTACTTTCCAAGAGAGCGGCTGGGCGCCGAATAAGGGGACAGAGGCCTTCTTTTCAACAGGTGCACGGATGGGCTGGAGTATCATGTATGAATTTACCAGAAGCTTCCCTCCCTTCTAATCACACGGAAGTGTGTTCTGGATGTGCTGGTGCTAGAAGGCTGAGGGAGAAAGACAGCTGTCCCTGCCCTCAAATATCTGCGGGGAGGTAAGTGGCAGGAGTCAATAACGTCCTCAAGATGTTTTCCATGGAAACCGTTCACACGGGCAGGAGAGCCTGAGGCACGAGTCAGGACCCCTTTCAAACAGTCAGCGTCTGCGCTGGAACAGCTTTCCTGCACGTGCTGTCGGTGTGCATCCGCCTCCCGCGGAGCCCGCTTCTGTGGGGCAATGCCATCTGGAGAAGGGGGTTCGGTGGGTCATGGGGGAGCGGTCGCTTTAGGTTTGTGTGTTTCAGTGGGTGCCTGTCCGAGTAATTTACACATCAAAACGTCCAGTGGCTGGTGCAGGTGCACAACACACTGCTCAGTGACTGTTTCATGGGAGGAACCTGGCGAGTCTGCTCGTCCTCACAAATCCCTTTGTGAGCAGACCAGCCGCTTCCATGTTGCTGACCTCTCCAAGTGCTATGCCTGATGGTCACTGGGCGACCATCGAGTCTGAGAAAACTCTGCCCATCATTCACCCGGACCCAGGTCTCTCAGAGACGCAAAATTAGCAACAGTCACAGGGACAAAATCAGCCTGTGATGACGCCAGGAGCCATGAACGAGCAGTATCTTTCTGATAGCGGTGGCACCCGTAAACCGGCAGTGTCATTCCGGGCATCTACTGTCCTAGGGCAAAAGCCGGGGTGGCTGGACCATGAACAAAGTTCTCCCGGCCATGGGCAGGGCTCAGGGTCTCTGGCGGGCGCCATCCCCAGCCCCGATCGCTCTGAATGCCTGCCTGCACATCTACTCCCTTGGGCCCAGCCAGAAGTGGAGGCTGATGGCTGGTCAGGTGGCTGAGGACCAAGACTCTAACTACTTGCTGAAGCGGTTTTAGGTCCCACTTAGCAGAGTATCACGGCGACGCTCAAAATGGGCTCACTGCCACCGAATCCATCCTCGCAGGCTCTCAGCGACCCCCTGGGGGTTTCCACACCACCACTGCTAGTAGCAGCAGAAAACCCAGTCCTCCAGAGGGGGCCCTTTTGCGTGTGGTCACTGCGTGTGGAGTCAGAGCTCTCCGCGCCTCCCTTCTGATCTCTGACCCACTCTCGAATGACAAGCTCAGCTAGCCAGAGGACGCTCTGTGGGAAGCACGGGTCCCTCCCACCCGGCAAGGTTCAGGGGTCGGGTGGGTGAAGGGCAGAGCACACCCCTCAGAGAGCAGTAATGTCCCAAGATGCCTCTCCCTGGCCCGGCATGGCAATGCTGGTGAGCACGGCACAGGCGCAGGCAGGGCTTCCTTCCACTGTGCGCAGGGTCGCTGAGAGTCAGAGCTGACGTGGCCGCCACGAGCAGCAGCAAGAACAACAGCATCCGCAGCTGACCCGTCTCCAATGGCTAACCTGTTCCTGGCAGGTCCCGGCCCCCACCCAGGCCCAGGGAAACAGCTTCCTGTTCGCAGGAATCAACTGCTTGACGCATCTATCGTAGCTTTCTCCTGAACTTAAAGCAACAACAGCGACGAAAACCCCACACGGTGTTAATGGCCCATAATCGACAACGCTTACAATCAAATAGCCCAATCGTACCAGAAAGAGCTGTATAATCATCACCACCACCAAGCATAGAACATTTCCTTCTTGTCCTCCTTGTAACCAGCTCCCCGTTTTCCCCCAAGCCCTCCTCCGGACAAACCCCCAAGAAACCGCGAAAACAGCTACTGTGGCTATAGATTTATCTATCCTGGATTCCACAAGAGAAAACAGACCAAAAAACTGAGCAACAGAGAGAAACCTCAATCGAAAAGAAAGCAGAAAATATTAAAGGCTGGAACCAATTTAAAGTGGGCCTCAAGGGAGATGCAATGACAGGGCGGTAGACTTTCACCTAACTCCCTCTGCAGTAATGGCGCTCTCGGTCGGGGGGCTCGGCTCTCCAGAGCACACAGGCTTCACCCACGGTGAGTGGGTCCAAAGGAAGATTACATGCTGGGATACGACACGCTACCCCAACGTCATCGACCAGAAAGGACTCGACGACAATGCTCTGACTACAAGGCTGCTCCCGTCGTCCGCGAGGGGATTCGCAGGCGGCTGAACCCAGGTGTGGACCCTGCAGATGGATCTGGGACTTCACCGTTGTCCACAGCCCTCTGTAACCCGGGGGGGCTCACAATCCAGGCTCTCATGCCAGTTATAGACAAACTACCTTTCCTTGCTTTTGTGTGAAATGGATCTACCCCCCCAGGGGGTGGGGGTCTCGGTCCACCATCTTTGATTATCTGTACCGTGTGGGGGAGTTCCACTATCTCGAAATTCCATCTTTCTACACACTTTTGCGATGGTGGGCGCCAGGCTTCTTGTACAACGTGGCTGGGCTTCCCCAAGGCAGCGATTGCAAAGGCTGCTGCTGGTTAACTGGCCAGCGAGGAAGAGGGTGTCTGGGACTGAGAACGGCTTCTGTCCAGCACGAAGCACCCAGTGCTGTCGTTCCCCCAGCGAGAACAAAGACGGGGGCTGCACTGACCATCTTACGGTACACAAAACAAGGACAAGTGCCTGCCCACAGGAGGGCCCTGACGCCGTGGTGGGAAGCCCAGACCCTCCCAGGGCGACATTCGCCATGGGGTGCCCTAGACCTGCCGCTCAGGCTCTGACCACTAGGAACACCTCTTCGCAATGTGCCTACCCAGGAAAGTGCTAGAAACTGTGCCCGAGAGAGGGCCCCCCCTAATGATGTGCAGCCCAGAAGCTGCCAGGGCCCCCTCCCCGCCCCCAGGAGGCCGTCCTCTCAGTTGTCTGGTGAGGCAAGGCTGTCGAAGGAGTGAGGCCCCCAGAGAGAGTAGGGAGCAATCCCCTAGCTGTTGTTGCATCAGGGCGAGGACCTCTAACAGAGCTGGGGGCCTGGGACTCTGGGTGCTGAGACCCTGTCATTACAGCTGCAGGTGCCCAAGGTGCAGCCCCGTCTGTGTTTCCCCAGGGCACCCAATTAGCAAAGCAGGCACTAACCTGGCCTTCTGAGGGCACCATGTTCCCTCCCTCTGACTCACTGCTGCTCCTAAGGCGGGGGAAGCTCACCAAACCCTTCTGCATGCGGACAGACTCTCAGGGCTCCGGTCTCTGGCGACAATGGCTACACTCAGAAACGAGGCCCAACGGGAGGTGGACGTCCCTCCAAGATCAAGAGCTGGCAGGGAAACCACTACAGTGGACTACACAGTGCTTCGACCGCTAGCCACAAGATCGCCAGTTCAAAACCACCAGCCGCTCCATGGGGAAAAAAATGCGCGTCCGACTCTGGTAAAGAGCGAGGTTCTCAGAAACCCAGGGGCGCAGTTCCACCCAGTCCTGCGGGATCACTGTGAGTCGGAATCATCCACTCAGTGGCAGTGAGGGTTTAAAAATGGAAAAAAAGGAAACACTACGCAAAACTTTTTTTTTTTTAATGAGTGAGTTTGGAGGTCCAGATGCAAGCCATTGCATTACATTATCTCCTGCGACATTCCGCCTGAAAGCCCCTTCTAGGCATCTATTTAACCGGTGCTTTGGTATTACTTCATCCAAACTGATTCATGTGGGGATAAATAACGAAGGCCAAGTAACCTTCTGCCAACATCCTTTGGGAAAACCTTATCAGATTTATAATTTTCATAATATCCTATCCCTTCCCCCCCATGAAAAGCAGCCAGCAATCCAGAGACAGACGCACATCTCCCGTGTACCGGTCCCAGCCCCGCAGTTGGCAGACACCCGTCATCAGTGAGGGCAAGGAGACCGACAGCACGCCCGAGACACCTAGCCCACACCCACCACCTAGCTTGGCATCCCCGACTCTCGGCAGCGAGAAGTGAACCGGACAGATGCCAGGCTGGGCCCTGGTCTCCAGTGCAGGGCAGCCAGTGCTGCCCCATGGAAGAGAGCCATCCGATTGGATAAGATCGCTCCTCTGGGGTCAGCAGCCAGAGTGGGGTTCAGGTAACACCTATTCCCAGAAAGCTGTCCATTCAACATGATCCCCACCCCAACCCCCCGCCCTACTGTGGGCATGGCTAAAGAAAGCTCCATGTGCAGGCACAGCAAGCGATTGAAAACCACAAAAGGCCATCAGTCAGACCTACCTGGTCACTGCTGGGGTGGGCACCCCTCTGGTCCGCAGAGGGGGTTTCCCCCGGACCACGGGGACGTCTGCGTTTTCTGAGCCACCGTTCAAATAGGTTAACTCCTGGAGCTGGGCTTGTCTGATTTCATCATTGTAGTCCTACAGGAGACAAAAGGCCGCACTGTGGTTCACCTGCTGGTGAGAGGGGGCAGCAGCTCAGGCGAAATCCACGCCAGTGTTTTAAGAGTGAAAGGGTGGGCAGAGCCCAAGTCACGAGTCACAGCTTGAGTTCATCAGAAGGAAAATGTTGCCGCTATAAACTGGTGAGGAGAGCTAAAAATAATGCTCCCCAAGTTAACGCTTCCAATCATCGTCGGCAGCGCCTTTCCCAGGGCAGACGTTCCGAACAAAATGCTTGTAACAACATCCAAATGCCATGTAATCAATACATGGAAATCGTTATTTACAACTCGGTCCAGCAGCCGTTCAGCTCCAGCGCAGTAGCTGGCAGCTGGGACACAGACAAGGCTAGGCAGAGGCCTGCACCGTGAAGGAAGCCGGGTCAGGCGGAGGGGCAGCGCCCCCAGAGCTGAGAACCTGACCTGGGAGCCCGCTCCTCGCACAGTGCTTGGCAGGCAGCGGCTCCTCTGACTTGCTCCCACCTTCACCAAGTGGCGTTCATCACCCTGGCGTTCAACTGAGGCTCAAGGGGTCTAAGTTTGATACTTAGTCCTTTCACCAGCCGAGCCCCAGTGATCGTCATTAAGAAAGGCATGTGGTAAACACACGGAGTGCGACCCGCTGCACAGAACAGAAGGGGGGCTCAGGTCTGCACCACCAGGAAGGGCCCTGTATGGTCATGAAGAGCCCGCCCTCCACAGGAAGTGCCGGCTGTGCGCAGCATCAGGCTCCTGCTTCAGCAGGAGACAGACGGACTTCTGGAGGACATCAGGCCTTCGCAGGAGAATGTTACTTAGAAACCCGTCGAAGGAAGAAAACCTTAGCAGCTGGTATGAGCAGCCTTGGTACTTTGGAAATGCCGTCCCAGGAAGTTGCCGTCACAGACTGAGCATGCCCAGTCCAAATCTCCACCAGCTCCTGCGCCCTGACTCACAAGGGTGAGTGTGAACTCAATTCAGGGAAGCGGGGCGGAGAGCACCAGGGGCAGGGGTGTTTCAGGGTTCATGGCTGTTGGGTGGCCCTGGAACTGGGGGGAGTGCTCATGGCGGAGTCATTGGGGCGGGGAAAGCTGATTTTCCACCGGCAGGGAACCAGGCCGGGGTCCCAGCAGCGCTCAGGAGTCACGGAGACTGAGTCCTACAACTTAGGAGCTGTGTAAACCTGAGAAGTTCTTACCTTGGCTAGACAGCCTGGGCCTGCTTATCATGTAAAGAAGAAGCGACCAGAGAGGCCTCACAGGTCCACTTCAGACCCTGTCCCGAGGGTGTCCCACAGGCTACGTGTCATGCAAGTTCCAGTGAACGAGCAATACTTACAAAGATTCAACTAAAAGGGAGGCCTCAGAAACACAGCGTGAATATGGAGGTAAGTGATACTAACGGGGATGAGGAACTTCTTGATCTCTTCCAGAGCGTGCCCCATGCGGGCATACGCCTCTGCCGGGGGGGCGAACACTTCAATGAGAACGTGCAGGTCGTCATTGAGGTGGAAGTACTTGGCTTCTCCACTTTTCCGCAACTCTTCCTCCTGAAGAGGAATCATGTTAAAAATCACATCATTACGAGAACAGACAAAAGAAGAGTGGGGACACGCTGGCATCACAGGAGACCCACCCGACCCCAAACAGAAGCAAGCCTCCACGAGGGTCCCCAAAACAGGCACCTGACCCGCCATCCAAAGAGCCTGGTGTTATGCAGCCCTAAAAATGTACAGCGCTGGAAACGCAGACCCTCCAGGGCCACAGTGAGTCAGTCTAAGCTGCAGCCATGAGGTCGGCCGTCCCAAAGGCTTCCCACTGCTGCAGTCTCAAACGGGACCCCAGCCTGTGGGAAAGCAGGCCATCAGCCC